AAGGAAAGAAAGAAAGAAAGAAGGGAAGAAGGGAAGAAAGAAAGAAGGGAAGAAGGGAAGAAGGGAAGAAAAGAAAGAAAAGAAAGAAAAGAAAGAAAAGAAAGGAAGGAAGGAAGGAAGGAAGGAAGGAAGAATAATTTTAAAGTTCTGAGGAACTCACCAGTAGATTTGACCTCCAAGAACCCCCCCTAGGAAACTGATAGTGAATATTGGGTTATTGGGTGTGGAATAACTTGTGTGAAATTAATGGGAATTAATAAACTAGACATGCTAAAAGGCTAGAGATTAGGGAGTCCAATACTCTGTCACCTAATTTGGCAAAAGTGGAGACGGTGACTAGGAAAGGTGCATTCATCCAAGAACTGAAAAGTTGGAATTTGAGCAAGAAGTCTTGATAGCCAAGTTAGCACATGAGCTAATAATTTGCTTGTATTTGATTATGACTAGTGACTGCCTAATAAATGACAGAAAATGTGTCTTAGGAAGTAAGCTTGTGTAAACCCCCGTTCTAAAAGCAGCTCAGCTTTGCAGATGGTAAGCAATAGTTTTTAAAATCATATTCTACTTCTAGAGGTCAAAACTCTGACAGGGCTTTACATTCCCTCCTCAGGCAAGGAATGTGAAAAATGGTTGAAACATGCTTCAGGACGATCTTAGCTGCTGTTGTTAAAGAAATTACTTGTTGCTCCACTTCATATTTTTCTGATAAGCAATAAAGAGTATAATGGAAAATCCATTGCAAAATGTGAAAGAACAAATGTAGTGGATACTGATAAGAAAAGTATGGGAGGACAAACTCACAAGATTTCCTCTGAATTTCTTCCAGTTAGTACTAAATGTACAAAACCGAAATGGCCCAAGAGATTTCATAGTCAGAAATGAATTCTTAGAAGTAAAGACACAAATTACACTGCACAGCATAAGAATAATAACAAAACTGAATAATACTGGTAAGCTCATATGCCACTAAGTAAGGAGTTGACATAATCAGATTGCATAACAATAAATCTGCATAAAAGGTTCTGTATTCTTTAGATATTGTTTTAGATACCAAAGAAAGTGTAACTATTTTCCAGGGTTGAGATTGCACACCAGTGGAAATGGAACCTAAAGAACGAGAAAAAGTTAGTACCACTATTACTGTAGTATCACTGACTTTGAGGCAATTTATGTATGAATGGAGTTGTATATCTCCTACTTTCAAAAGATTTATGGCTACTTTATCTTTCTCTTAACCCATTCCATGTGTTGGTGTCTGGACAATATATTGAACAGAAACTGAAGTACTTCCATGTAAGATGAAGGCACCAGCATGAAATTCAATCAAAGACAATGATTTCCTCACAGTTTGTCTGCAGGGTGAGTTGATGTCAGGTTACTTCTGTAGCCCAGCAGTGCTGTGACTCACCTTTGCAGAGAATACTCCATGTGCACCCTTTCCAAGTTACCTGCTGTAAGGATCTCAGCTTAGAGTCAGAGAAAATGTGCAATGGACTCCTACAGCTGGAACAGCCAACAACTTGTGTGAGCACTAGCAGTACTGTAGGTTGGTGGCCTGAGTCCCTGTCCAGCTCAGAAGTCGGCAATCAGTACTTGCTTGTAACTGAAAAGCTTCAACAGTTTTCCAAATTCTTTTCCAGAAAGAACTAAATGCATTGAAACTAAAAGAAATCCCAGAGGCCTATTATTATTTCTGTTATTATATTATTATGATATTGTTTATTTCTGTTAGATTTGGGGCCCTAGTGAGATACAAACACAACAAGAATGTCTTAGTAAATCTGGAAAACAGTATCTGTACTAAGGGGTGAGAGAATACATATTAAGTTCAACTACACCAAGACCAAGTACCATTGTGTCCTCCACCACGCTACCTGGTTTCCATTGGAAGAAACACCAGAGTGTCAGGAAGGAGATGGGATGTGACCCAATAGACACTGCACACCCTCTCTGAACATTGAGGGAATTACGGCAGTGGTGCCCTTGCCTTGAAGCTCAGACACTGCTACATATTCCAGTAGTCCACCACGCATCCACCTGCATTTGTCATCCAACATTTGGTCATCTAGGATAATCACAGAAGGCAGCCTAAGCTAGTTACTTTGGTGAAACCGTTCATAGAAGCAGAGACAAGCCTAAATTCCATCTTTTCTCATGACTTCCTTATAGGATAGGTATTAGTAAAATTACAAAACAGGTTTTCTTTTTTTTGTATAAGTAAATGATCTCTTAGATGACTACAGCATTGCTAAAGAGAAGAAAAATTAATTCAGATTGCCTGAACTAGACAAAACTAACATAATCCAGTACTGAACAGGCTCACACCGTTGTAAAGGAAAATCCTAGGAAAATGTTTGACTAAGTGAAGGGATATATATGAAAAAAAGGCCACATGGGAAAACTTTATAGAGAAGGGCATTTTTTATTAGATGGTCTAAGAAAAAACACAGAAGAGTAAAACCGAGTACACCTCAATAATTCATATGGTATATATAAATTGCAACAGCCCATATGTGGAGAATGACTTAGGTTGCATATACAAATTCTAATTTCCTCATAAGTAGAACCGGTACAATCTTCAAATTTTGGTTCCCTCAAATTGATGTTTTCTATTTTATTAGACTCTGAACCAAAACAGAAATAAACAGTTTTCAAGTTTCATGCTAAATTTAAACTCCCCAAAGGATTTAATTTTCTACCTCTATGAATTAAAAAAAAGTTTTGAGTTTTGAAAATCCATTCAAAAATATCTATTTGTCATATTATTAATATTACTGTTACTTCACATATACTGTGAAACAGATTACTTCCTCTGGTTATCCATAGTAGCAGAAGTCTGACCCAAATCGTTACTTTTTACCCATATATTTTTAAGTAACCATATATTTCAAGTAATATAAAGATATTGAAAAGAAAGCATCTATAAAATCCCAAATGACATTTTGGTTAAATAATCTGATATTGCATTTATTTCTGAAATGGTAAGATCTGTAACAGAACTTTTCCACATGGAAATTTTTACTGGACTGAGCTTGCTTGCTTTTTTAAACATTTTAAATGCTCTCTTCATTTAGTGTTCTTTGAAAACTGTTGGAAAAAAGAATTTCCTACTCCAGGCTGGCAACACAGTTCTGAAAACTTCACTGGGAATGTCACTGAAATCCAAGCCAGTCCTCAGGGACTCAGAGAACGGAGCTCCACCAGAAAGTTTGATCAGACAGCAAATGAAAAAACTCAAAAGTTATTTAGATTGGAATATTTTTTTTTTGAGTTGGCAAAGGGAAAATAGCCTGCTAAAGTAATGTCATCTGTAATTTGGTAAGTTATTTATTTTCTTTTAATCCTATTTGAAGTATCAACATTTCCAGTACATTGGCTTGATTGGCAGAGGTGTTGTATTACTTGGGATAACCCCAGTAAAAATTATCATTCCTATCTGAGACGCTCCAAGTTCTGAAGGAGTTCCCTTCAATCAAAAATATCCCTGCATTAGGAACATCATCATATGCCTATTACCCCTTAGCACCACACAAAGTCAAAACTTCAGAGGGACAGACAGTAGTATCCTTTGGTGCATACGCCTGAGCATGACCTCTTTGTAATCTCAGTAACTGATCTGAAAGAAACTCTAAGTCATAGGAGATAATAAGTAATTGAGTAAAAAGAATATTGCAATTTTCAAAAGTAAAAGACATGACAAAAGGTAGATCATAAAAGACTGCAGGACTACACCACACCACTATAGGCAGAACTATCTGTTTAAGATAATAGGAAGTAGTACTATTTGAAATCTAACACTTCTATGAACTGTACAGCTGTACAGCTATTCTACATTTTTCACCTTACCATTTTGTATTCTTTCCAGCTTTTTTGAAAATCCAGACTCCCATCTTCTCGGTGCTGTATAACTGTCCATCCTCCTCCAGCAATTTCCATATTGCAAAAGACCTATGCAGTAATAAAACAAATAAACAAAAAAACCCCAAAAATACAATAAAACAAACTTGCATTGGAATTCTGTCATCTTTGGGGAAGAAAAAAGATTTGTGAATAGCAGAACTGAAAAAGCCTGTTTTCCTATGGATTCATGCCCTATGCCCTTGACAGTATCCTTAATCGTTTGATTACAACTGGAGCTGTCCTTGCGTTCAGTGTAATTGTCTCAGTAATGTCTCCTGTTCTTTCAGCACATTACCCAAGAACATCTCCCCATCATACCCCTCTGCATTCTCAGCTTTCCTCTTCACATTCCCTCAATGCTGCTTTTCTGTTTTCTCTGCAGTGCTCCCCAAACAACTCCCTTTCTCTTAAAAAAAACTAGTATTTTTTTCAGTTATAATAATGTTTCCGATAGCTTTTAGCAGTGTTATTCTGTCTAAGAAAGAATCTTCAGGAATTCTTACAGAAAACACCCAGTCAGGGAGTTTAAAATGTAGCACAGATTTGATTATTCTGGTTTGCTTTGTAATGCAATGTTACCTACAATGTGCCAGACAGTGTCCCGAAACAGAAACAGCTGATCTCAGTCAAAGTTGCCTTATGGCTGACACAGAACATAGATAGGAACAGGCGGTCAAGAACAGAGGTCTGTGGGACAAGCTAAGAAGTTAAGACGTATATCAAACCTGTAAGATCATACTCTGCCATTATCACACTAATGAAATTCTAACTTGGATATTGACATTCTGTACATTAAGGGTAATTCAAAATTTTTACAGTTTTGCTGAAGCTTGATGTTAGACTGTTGCATCAACAGAAATCCTTTAATAATCTTAAATAATCCATACAATAACCAAAATGGATATTTAATTTTCATTTATTTTTCACTCCTCTTACATTGTCCTTTTAAAAATATAGAAGATAAATTATAAAAACTGGCAAATACTGATTATTCAATCACTTTTCTTGTTATGCGGCGATAGTCTTCATTTCTCTTCCTATTTTTGTATGACAGTTGATTTTAAGATCCATCTAAGCTTCTCAGTGCTACTCTTTCAAGCAAGTGTTCCTGATTTTCATTTCCATGTACTCACCCGTGCCATACTGGTACTGCAATTATCCTAAATTTCATTTGTTTGTGCTCTTGAATAGTTTTATTCCTCTTTTTAAGTAAGATGTCAATATGTAAGAGGGTTGAAGAGGTGTCACCACCAATCAGCTTAGCTTTTGGCATTTGCATCAACAAGGCAGAGTCAATCCATTCAGCGCTGGAAGGTAATTTAAACCTTTAAGTTGATCTGCCAAATCAAAGGTTACTATCCAATTCAGTTAAATAAAAATTGGGCCCTCAGCTGACTAGAGAACCATATTCCAGTCTCAGGCAAAGCAACTCCATATCTTTCCTACTCATAAGAATTGTCATAGTAATCCTGTGCAAGTGCTTTTGTTTTAATTTGTTCCAGACATGCCAAGTGAAGCCCCTGTGTAGGTACAGGAAGGAAACAGAATACTGAACAGTGCAAACATGTGAACTTGATTTAGGATAACCACAAGAAAACCCACAATTTGCTAGACAAATATTTTGGCCGTGTTCCTCCTTCAGGGAAGTCAATGTGAGTCAAAACATTTATCTACAGGATTTAATTTCTTTAGTCTGATTTACAGTGAGAATTTCTAAATGATGGATTTACTTTCCTTTAAAGTCATTTCAAGCACCCATGAATCCACTGTCAATTTTCAAAGCATTAAATCCTCAACTCTATTAAGACTACTCATTTTAAAGGTGCGCACAAACAAGTGCTGGGTTTTTCATATGAAAATATAACAAAATATCTGTAAAAAGACTTTGATTTTTTCTGAATAATATGGCAGATTAAAAGAGAAAACTGCAGAGTGAAAGAAAGGTTTACAGCAACACATTATTCACTAGCCATCACTGTGTGGTCTGGCACTTTCCACAGTGGTAGACACAAACACCTGCCATATTAACAGGAGGGCCAAGTGGATTATAGATGTTCACTGTGCATAGCTCTAGCCAACAAATGTCTCCTGGACTGGCTTCTGTCCCAGACAAGGTCACGACACTCAGCCATTAAACACCTTTTAGCATGTTCTGATATTTAACCCTCTACCAGAAAAGAAAAGGATGAAGAAAAGTGACTTTGAATTTGTATGCATCTCTAGATTCTGAGTTTACCATCAACAAAATAACCTGATTTAGATTAAAAGAGCATCCAAAGGATTGCACTCTTGCCCTTCCCTAAATGCACAGGTAAAAATACTCAAGCTACTAAAAGACATATATGGCATTATTTATACATATTTTTACTAGGACGAGAGGCAAGTTGCATCAGGGGAGGTTTAGATTTGATATTAGGAAAAATTTCTTTACTGAAAGAGTGGTCAGGCATTGGAATAGGCTGCCCAGGGAGGTGGTTGAGTCACCAGCCATGGTAGTGTTTAAAATTGTGTAGATATGGCACTTCGGGATATGGTTTAGTAGGCATGGTGTTGTTCGGCGGATGGTTGGACTTGATGATCTTAGAGGTCTTTTCCAACCTCTGATTCTATGATTTTAGTTATGATCTAAGTCATTATAAACTTCATAACAATCATTCAGAAATCAGCCCAGCTTTAAAGCAAACAAAAGGAGGGGGATTGCCACATACTGTATTTCTAGTGCATGCACACTAAGACATCACAATTCTACACTGTTGGCATGCAGCAACAAGCTCAAGACCTGCTATTTGAGATTCAAGGAATGTGTCTCTGCTATGCAGAAACCAAGCCTGAAGGTAACTATGTTGGGACGAGAGTCTCAACAGTACTTGGGGCTAGCATACATTTAATGGGTTAAAATTCTAGCAAGTATGCTCAGAGAGACCCTCGACACCAATTTGGTAGGCAGTCCACAGGCAGAAAGTAGAGGGGAAGAAGTGAGGCTGCACTCATGGCAATAGTGGCAATTGCTTTCGCAGAGCCATTAAGACCCAGATATATAGGCCTCACTAGGAATTAATAACATTACATTTTCAGTGCAATGCACCCAGAAGTTGGTAGAAGTCATGCTTTTGAGGGCGTTAGAGAGGATGGTAAAAGTGTCCAATACATTGATCCAAGAGGAGGTACGGATGTTCTACATGCACTCAGACCAGTCCCCATGGCCTACTTCAGCTCCCAAAGGTGACCTGGTTCCTTCATCTCCAAAATGGTGACAACCTCACTCCCACAGCGCCTCTGCTCATCAGCAGCTACTGCTTCCCCTGTAGCTGACCTCACCTGTGCCGGGGACTGAGAGGACTCTTCTTGCCTTTGCTCTCACTATGGCCTAGGGACAATCATTTCTCAATACCATCAGGCATTGCATACACCCCTCCCCCCCAAGTAAGCCAATTAATTAGCTTCATACTTTAAGCCTATATTTTTCTCTTCCCATCTCAAAAATACGGAACATTATTAAGACCATTTTAAACAGAAGTTCACCACTATTTTTTGATGCAGAGTTGGAAGACTAATGAACTAAACTAATGAACTGTTGAAGCTAGGAACATGAAAGAAAAATCTCAACCTAAATTTGTAAGCATATAAAAATGGGGCTTATAAGTGGTATGAAGCTATAAGTACAGAGGATAATTTTCTGTAAAAATATGAAGGTAAAACCAGCAAAAATCTAGAACTGACATTTGTATATATGACAAAGGAACATTTTCCGTTGAATATCAGGATTCTAGTAAATATCCCTTAGGAAATATAAAATGAAATGAAAGTGTATTTTTGTGACCTGAAGCATAAAATTACTACAAATGAGACAGTTGCCAGTGGCTGCTAGTATTACAGCAGGTAACAATATATTAGGTCTCTTAAGACATGTCAGAGTTGTGCATTGCATTATGGTAACCCTGATAACTAAGCTGGCTTTAGACAAGTAAGTACATCTCCATGGCGTACCTATAAGCATATTAGCTTGGGTCCCAGAGCACTCTAACTGTGTCAGCATGGTACTGCCTCTGGGCTAATTAGTCCTGGCACAGTGATGCACTGATGTGAGTTTGGAGCTGTCTATCTCAGCTGGAGTCAGTTCAGCTACCTCTGCACAGCACTACCTTGCAGACTGTTAATACGACCTTAATATCTGAAAAGACATCTGTAACAGCAATCACACTCCTCACGTGCATGGGGTCAGCTCTTGCTGTGTTATCGCTAGGGCAAGACAGAAGGAGGCGGCAGCATCAGAAGTGTCCTCAACACTCTCCCACCACCTCCTGCCACTCCCCCAAATTTCTTGCTAAAACAGGAAGCCTCCAGGAAAAAAAAATGCAATGGTATCAGTTGAGTTGTGTGCCTGTATTGATTCATCGCAGTGTCTGCAAACAGGATACAGCGGAAACACAGGGTGGCTTCCACAATGTCACTGTCCTTGTCTTACCAGTGAAGCTGGTTTAAGGTAAATATACCAGAAGCATCAGTGCCACAGTGCTTTCAGGTAACCACTGTTTTTCATGGCAACTCAGTTTCTGGGGATAGTTTATGAACTTTAATAAGGCTAAGAAGAGCCACTGACAATTTGTATAAGCAATCTGGACTTTGATGTTACTTCTCTGTTTTGAATTGAACAGCTTCTACAGAACTGTTTAATTGTTCTTGTCCTGTTCATTAATGCTTAAAGGAGTCTATGTATTTTATGTCATGTCAATTATTTTTTCATTCACATTCACCAGAGTTATATTGATCTTTGTCCATAGCACTCTCCCACCCCAAATCTACTCATAGTTTAATGAACTCTAATTTCTTAGTAAACTATAACATCTTGATATCTACAGGCTTCCAAAGGCCTCTAATAAAAGCATATTCAGTTCAGAAATAAATTTTATGTATCTTAATATTGTCATAAAATGACTACAGACAATAACATTGGTAATATTTATTATTGTCTTTTTCTGTTTGCAGGGTCACTGTTTTACTGCAGTAAGAATAAATTCTCCAAGCACACGAGGTTCCCCCCCTCCTGTTTGGCTCACTTTCTGGAGACCACTGTATTTTCTCTCCCAGGTAATCAGCTCTTAGCCTTGTTGGGGGCTGTTCCCAACAGTGCCCCATCAGAGGGACAGCCAGCATTCCCCCATGTAAAAGTTAGGCTTAGGTTATCCCCTCATGTCCCTAGCTCAAACTGACTCAGGTATCTTAGCACCAAAAACCTTCCAAAAAATCAGTCTCCTTTAGAGACTAATGTTTTATTTTCATCAAGAAAACCTCCCAAAGAACTTTTTTGAGAAGAACAGGATTCTACTTGCTTCCTCATTTCAAAAAGTACTAATATTCAGTGTGTTGTGTTCTTTGCAGCCAAAAATACTCTTCCCTGCTCCCTACAAGAGAAGAAGGATTTTTGCAAATCTTTATCTTTAAAAACTACTCATTCTTCTATTTCTTCCCCTGTGCTACCAGATAATCCCCCTGTTGTCTTCCTCAATATAGCACTCTACTAATTCTATTCTGAACTTTATCGCAGATTTATTTGCAGTCATACTCTGATTCAACTGAACTTGCCAAGTGGGAGGAAGTGACTGTACTATTGAATGTATGCTGGAACTTAAGAAGGATTCTTTGTCAGTGAGCAAGAAGGACGTCTGGAATAATACAGTTTGTCATTTTCTTCCCTCTACTGTATTTTTTTCAAGACTGAATGTAGCCCAGGTTATTTATACCAGTTCAATATTTTGCAGAATGAGAACTTCAATAAAGGCTCCAAAAGCTCCTTTAAGGCCAGAGAAACAGCATATTAACAAATAAGAAAATAAAATAAATATTTACTTTACCTTTTTAGGATCTGACACGTTGTTGATGTAAATAGTGTAGACCCCACTTTTGTTGAAACCAGATTGGTATACATCAGCACAGTCTCTGAAAGGCTTTTCTTCCTCCTTTTTTGCATTCTTTAGCAAAACTGCAAAACAAAACCCCATGATAATACGTTAGAACAGCAATCTTCAGCATTTCTGTATCAAGGAAGTCCACTTTTGCACATTGTATTCCTTTTAAACATACATAGTAAGAACTGTGATATGGCCTTTACACAGTTAGTGCATTTGGTAAAGTCTGTTAAAGAACTAGTATGAAACTATCAGACAGATGGCAGAGTAGGCACCTGCAGAAATAAGTCATGTAAGTAGCTAAACAGAGCATCCTGTTTACTGAGAGGTGAACACAGCACATTCCTTCTGAGTGCAAAGCTCTGTGCAGCTGCAGGTGTTGCCCCTGACTGAAGCTGTACCCCGGAGGTTGCCACAGAACGCCCCAGAGATCGCACATGAAGGTGGACAAGTGTTCAGTGTTGTGATCTGAGACAGATGCTAACCTAAGACAGCAATGCAGAACCCTGGAAGAAAAGAACTTGTGCCCTTCCTCCATGAAGTACTGCCTTTTGAGCAGCCTAGAGGCTTGGGGCAAAGCAGCTGTTTGCTTAAGTTTATTTTCTTGGCAGAGAATTATTTCATGATTTTCATATCTACACACATAAAAGTTGCTACATACAATACTAGGAAAAAAAAGAAGAAAAATCAGTGCTACTAAGGTCAATTGTTTAGAGCCATGATTTATTGGGTTTATTTTTGGCTCAGAACAGGAAAACAATTAATGTCAGAACACCAGTGCAGGTCTTGATCCTGTATATTTCAGACAGACCACATATATGAGTCTGGGCTGAGAAACCAGGTGGCCGAGATATTTGAGGATCCCAATCTTGAACAACCAGGAGATTCCCTGTAGAAGGAGTAACATCTGAAAGTGTTCTTTCACTTTCACAAACAAAAGTAGCATGACCCCACACAATACTGAAGGATTATGACCTCATTCCAACAACACATACTTTAAGAACATCAGTATTCCCATGGAAAGCCATCAGTCTACTCAGATTCTCAAAGTTAAACATGTCCTTCAGTGACGTGCAGGGCCTGGACCAGCACTTCATTAATCCCTACAATAAGGAAACAATCTTTCTGGCCTCCAGACATACTCGCATCTGCTGATAGACACATCTTTTTCATTTTTGGCTTGAAAATATGATTTATAGGTACAAAAGGGACTACGCCTTATTCACTCTCAATGAAGTGGCCTGTGCTGCAAAGCTGGTGCTCAGTGACAATGGTGTGTAAAAAAGCAACGGCCTTGCACAGCATGTGGGACTACCCTGGCCATAAGATGGTGTGCGATAATGCCAAGGATTTTCCGCTTGATATACTATCTCCACTTTGAACATTTCAAGGCAGTATTTTAGAATGGCAAACTCCTGACAGATCAATTGATATTAACACCATTTCACAGACAGGGAAACTGAGGAAGAGAAAGGTTAAATATTTCACCTCAGTGATTTTGTGAAAAAGTGAAAATAGAAAAACAGTGAGAAATCCAATCCCGAACTCTCAGACTATCCTGCTCTCTAGGTAGGCATTCTACATGTCATATTCTTTTTCTCTTTTATGTGTTTATTTTGTTCTTTTAAAATTTGTTTTTAACAAAAAAAACCACTTTACTTCTCTCTTTCTATGTATTTGTTGCATATTTATTCTTTTTATCTAACACCATCAATAAAAATAAAGCCTGGCTCACATACTTGCATATGAGCTTCAACTGTAAAATCAATGGTTTTGAAACTCGGTCATATTTGGAAAAGGTGGTGCAGGCAACACAGCAGATGACACACTTCCCTGTGAGATGGCAGGGAAAAAGGTCCTCAGCAAGGTACACATCAGCAGTGCGCTCTCTAAGGTGCCATTTTTTAGATAAGATACAGAACTGAGGCCTTCACGATTTGTATTAGTTAAAGATTTCATGGTACTTTCCTGTAAGCAGATGGTGTTGGAGTCAGTGGCCAAAGTCCAACTTGAATAATTACTTGCGGCTGGAGCCAAAGCCTAGAAGAGTTAAAGCAAAGCCTCTCACTGATTTCAGGGGGCTTTAGATTAGATCCATTCTTCCTGACCTGAATTTCTCTAATACTGTTGTTTCAACTTCAGACATCAGTCTTTCTTGTCTAAACAATGTATTTAGCTGTGCAGAGGCAGAGTGTTCATTTCCTTGAGTCTTATAGTACTTATATTTTTTTCTCTATATGTACAGAGATTATCTTACTTCCATCTAACTCTTAAACTGTTATTAATTGACAACCACTCGGAAATAACTACCTAAGAGTCAATAAAGGAAATTTGAATTTGATTCCTTTTCAACTGACAGTTAGAGAAAAATCTCATAAGTATATTCTAAAGTTCATATTATTTGAATTTTAAACCAGGTAAGATGTTAATTTCAGAGTAATTAAAATTAGATTTGAAAACATTTTTCTAAGGAGATGGATCTCTAGGAAGATTCTCTAGAAATAATTTTTTTATTGATGCTTAAAGACTACATAAAACACAATAAAACTGCTGTTCATGTAAGAAATAAAAGTGACAAGGACAGATAGATGTTATAGTTATGCTCAGTTCCTTCCATCCTTCCTCTCAATATCAGACAGCTGAAACACCTCAGAACATAGGCAGCAGATGTGTTAATTTCCTATAGACTAAGCAACTCAATATCCTTCTTTTGCAGCAGTGGGTTTTGTTCAATGATCCACTGGAGCCAGGAGAAGGTGGCTTTCCTTGGGTGACTCATCCCTCTCTCAGGAGTTGATGCTCCCACTGGAAGGAAAGCTCAGCTCCTCATGAAAGAGCTGAATTATTACAGATTGCAGCACTGTATATTAAACATGACCAACACAAAGTTCAGTGTTTCTTAATACATCAGACTGTAATTTGCAAGAACAGTCCAAAGTTATCAGACAATTAGTACTCAGGAATGTTACTAGTAATGTTCTTTTAGAGTAAAATATGTTTTTTCTACAGTTTGCTGTTGTTTTTCTAACTTAATATTCCATATAATTTCCGAACCGCTTCTACCTACCATAGCTCCAGACTGTTTTTTCTCTAACATTACATAGACCTTGAATCCTTTATACATCAAGTGAAGTTCCTGAATGATGCATGGTCTCACAGATGGTAAATGTGTAAATAAATTTAAAAAAAAATAATAAGGCTCAAATAAAGTAGTTTTAAGATAAAATACGTAGCCATTACATTTCTTTCTTCAGCTTCAATATCTTAATTGACTTTACACAGATTTCTAATGTTAATTTAGCTATTTTCAAATACAGTGCTTATGCCAAAGTTTTATATACCTGAAAAAAAATTAAGTCTATGTCAAGTAAAATAATATTATCATTTTTAAAACCTGAATGCTTAGCCAAAATTTGGAGCCCTAGAGGGTTTTTTGATTGCCTTTTCTGGATGAATAAACTGGTGATGAAGTCATGCTTCTTTGAAGCAATGCTGTCTATGTGGAATATCCTGCTTTCCTGAACAGAAGGAGAATGAACAAGCAAAATTACTTTCTTCCTTCATTGCACTTCTGAATGTCTTTTAGTGAATTTTTAGCTTGATAACTCTCCTTGAGCTATGCTACCTGTGTTTCCCTACTCGATGAATTATTTCCTTCAGTTACCAGTCTTTCAGATGTTTCTTTTCCTCAATGCCCTAGGTGATGATTTGAGTCCAGGCAATACGGCAGGTATTGTACATAACAGCCCAGAGCTCTGTCAGATGGCTGCTCCCATGTAGAGGCAACAGCCTTGGCAGTGAAACTGCTCTGCAACCCTGTAGAGGAACAGAAACCCAAATCAACGAGATTTCTGCTAACCCAGAGGCTGTGAACTGCCAGGGCTGAGCAGCTGTTCTGCTACTCCTACTAAAAGGGTATTAACCTTCAGTAGAAAGCCAAGGTCTGCACCTGAGGCTGTAGCCTCTTCAGTTTTCTTAGAAATGGTTACTGGATTTTGCAGGTGAGAGACCTCAGACATATAAGGCCTTTTCCCGGAGTAACAGCCAAGGAAATCTCTTAACTGCTTGTTAGCTGTGTATGCCTCTGTAGAGTGAGACTATTTTTCTGCTATCAGTCATGAAAATAAGTCAATAACAAACGAGATTATTTGTTCCTAACAGCTATCACAAATGAAGGATGCCTGCTTTTCTGCCCGGGTTTAAAGATATGCAGACTGATGACACCAAGCTGAGTGGTGCAGTCAACGTGTCTCAGGGATGGGAAGCCATCCGGAGGGACCTGGACAAGCTTGAGAAGTGGTACCATGTGAACCTCATGAGGTTCAGCAAGGCCAAGTGCAAGGTCCTACACCTGGGTCAGGGCAATCTCCAGTACCAGTACAGCCTGGGGGATGAAGGGATTGAGAGCAGCCCTGCCAAGAAGAACTTAGGGGTACTGGTAGATGAGAAGCTGGATATGAACCAACAATATGAGCTTGCAGCCCAGAAGGCCAAACGTCTCCCGGGCTGCATCAAAAGCAGTGTGGCCAGCAG